GCTGCTCTGGAAACACAACTCCAGATTTCATAACCTAAGGAGAAGGGGGTACTGAGAACCAAAGAGACAGAGATGTACTGGAGTTCCCCAAGGGTGATTTTGCATTCAGGAGAATAACCACAAGGCTCAGTACAGATCTATCATCCTCTGGAATTGCTTGTGCCAGCCTCTTTCTAATTTAACTACAAAAACGAATCTACTCAGGAGACGTGTCTATGCGCCCAATATGTAAAACACACCAATCATCCAGACAGGAGATCGAATTACTGCATTCGACAATTAAATTACACTCAAAATTTAACCAAGCCCTAGAAGAAGATGGAAGGAAATGATGGTTAGTGCTGGGAGAATGTGAAAGCAGAGCCATAGCGTCTTATTAATATGCTCTTTAATATTTTTGCCCATAAACTAAATAATTCATAACTTAAATCAAAGTGGGTGGCTGGCAGGTGGAACTTTTAATTGGTTCATCTCGAAGTACTGCTATCGTGACCCAGGATAAATGCCAAGCCTATTCCCAGGTACAGAGAGCAAACTGTATTACATAGGATGCACTATTGGAGATCAGTGTCATGTTACCTTAATGCAATACTTTCTCATTTGCAATGTTTAGACTGTTCCCCAGAAACTAGACAATACTCCATATATTTAAAAAGAATTCTCACATTGTTCATACTCAAATACTTAAAGCAAAAATAAATGCATGGCCAGATAAACCACAGACACCCAATTAGGTCCTTACGACAAAGGCTCATGGCAAAAAAACTAAATGTGTCTCTTCTGCTCCAGTATCAATGGGCTGTTTTGATTTGTGTTCTTCCTTTGCAGCAATAACATGGCCTTTTCTGTCTCCTGATCCTCTGGCACCCTGTGAATTGGAGCACTGCAGTCTCTCTTGTTTGAAAAGTAATCAAGCTACATACAAATGTACCCAGGCGGAGGGAGACAGAAGTCCATTTGGCTTTGAAGGAAACAGCAGACATTTCTGCACCCTTCACTCCATGGACTGCTGCTTTTCTAGTTTTATATTAAATTCCTGTGCCCAGATGGCAATTATTCCATGCCACTGACAGTTATTTCCATTGTCGTCCCCAACTCTTTTTCCTAGAGAAGAATGGTACGGAAATAGCAAATCTGCAACAATTAGCTTGTGCACCTTGACATCACCCCAGAGGAAAGCACGTTGAAATTGGGTTAGGTTAAAAACCACTTGGAGACAACTCACCTCCACTTTTCCAGAGCAGTCAGGGTACTTGGGGTCTCTGGGTGCCTCACACTGGTCTCGCCTACCTTCAACCACTGCAGAAAGAGAAGTCAGGCATGGGGAGAAGTGGGTCACTTCATTCGAATAGTGGAAAACTCCAAGACTTGGAGTGAAGGGTGCTGACCAGAGGTACACAGTTATCACTACCTAGGGACCAATCCTCTCCACCTGTTGCCATTCAGTAGCCAGTACTGATGTGTGAGACAAACAAACAAGCCTTCGTCTCCTCTGCTGCTCTTGGGATATTTCTGAGCTCACCTTGCCAGCTTGAGTGAGCCCCAGGGAAAGCCATGGAATTGGGGAGGATTTGGCACCCATTCTACAGACAGGAAAACTGTGGTACAGAGCCTTGCTCAGGGTCCCACAGGTAGTGTAGGCAAAGGCAAGGGTCCTAAATCACCTTCTTTGTCTGCTGGACCTCCTTGTCCTTTCATCAGTTCACATTTCTATTGGGCATGATGCTAGTTACAACTTGTATTTCAGCCCAAATTACTGGGCATTGTCTAGGGCAGAACTCAGGTTCCAGCTCCTGCCTGTGATCACGCCCTGTACTGCCTTTTAATAATCTGTAAACAGACTTTTGTATCCAAGGAAGTATCTGACAGCCTTGCAGGCACGTACTGTAAAGCTACAATAAAAATTGTCCCACTAAGCTGTCAAGTGCAGAGCTGGCCCCTGGGGCTACTGCTGCCCACATACTCAGGTACAACCTGTGCCATCAGAGAAACTCACATTCTCTGTCTCTCCTTCTCACATACACACACACACACACACACACAGAGTCAGAATACTGAAACAGGCACTGACACGCAGTGCAGACTTGGCAGAGATCCTTCTCTCCTCAGTTAGAGCCTCCAGCAACACCCCTAGGGAGAGGCCACATAACTAACTAAAGCTGTTTTTAGCCCCAAGTACATTTTAACAAGTGGATGGAGCCAAAGAAGCAATGTACATGTTTAGTTCAAGCACTGGGTTCAGGGTTGGGGTTCACAGTTGCAGAAGGGACAAAGTCAGCCTGGGTTTGTATTCTGTGCTGTCAACATCTGCCAAATAGGGCTGCGCAACATTTCGCTTGCCATTTCATTTCAACACTGTTTCGACTCATTTCGAGGTCAAAACAGCAAAAACAAAGCAAAACAAAGGGCGTCGAAATAACCTCAAAACAAAATGAGGTTAGTCGAAATGTTTTGACCATACTGCTGGGGATGGGAAGTCAGTCCAGCTAGGCTGACTTCCAATCCCCGGCATGATCTAGTGCGGGTAGATGGGGAGGCAGCCCAGCTGGACTGAGTTCCCCCAACCGATCGTGGAGATGGTAACTCAGCCCAGCTGGGCTGAGTTCCTTTCCCCAGACCAATGGTTATGTGAAACATCGAAACAGCGTCAAAACAGCCTGGCCATTTCGACTCAAAATGAAATGCGATACAAAACACTGTTCCGTCCAGACCTCGAAACTGAAGTCAGAACAGAACAGTGCCATTTCGCACAGGCCTACCACCAAGCTGTTGTTGAAAAATCTGAGACCCAGTTACCGTTGCAACTTCTGCTGCTCTTGGGATATTTCTGAGCTCCTGACTTACGGGAGATCTTGGGAGGCAAGTTGTTCTTAAGATATGTTGGAAGCAGTAGACACAATGTATCTAGGTTTTCCTAGTGGCACTCCTCATTGCAGTATGTGGGTATTTATGGGAGGGATCTTGGAGTCATTATTGATTCCAAGATGAACATGGGCCACCGATGTGAGGATGCAGTCAGGAAGGCTAGCCGCACCTTGTCATGCATCCACAGATACATCATGAGCAGGTCCAAGGAGGTGATCCTCCCCCTCTATGCAACACTGGTCAGGCTGCAGCTGGAGTACTGCATCCAGTTCTGGGTGCCACACTTCAGGAGGGATGTGGACAGCATCAAGAGGGTCCAGAGGAGGCCATTCGCATGGTCAGGAGGCAATGAGGCAGGCCCTATGAGAGGAGGCTACAGGACCTGAACCTGTTCAGCCTCCACAAGACAAGGTTGAAAGGGGATCTGGTGGCTGTCTATAAACTGGCCAAGGGGGACCAGCAAGCAATGGGAGAGTCCCTGTTCCCCCAAGCACTATTGGGAGTAACAAGAAATAATGGCCATAAGTTGACTGAGAGTGGATTCAGGCTGGATATCAGGAGGCACTACTTCACTGTCAGGGTGGCTAGGATCTGGAACCAACTTCCAAGGGAAGTGGTGCTCACTCCTACCCGGGGGGTCTTCAAAAGGAGGCTAGACAGACACCTCACCGGGGTCATTTGGCCCCAGTACTCTTTCCTGCCCATGACAGGGAGTTGGACTTGATCTGCTCAGGTCCCTTCCAACCCTACCAACTATGAAACTATTTCCCAAGTACCAGAAAGGCAAGAATAAGCTCTCTTTCTCTTCCACTAATAAACTGTGTGTATTGGGGGGGAGGGCAACTATGGGAAATGTACATGCTCTGACTTTTGTATTTAATTCTGAATACAATTAGATCTGTTGTCATTCCTACCCATTGCAGCACTGAGTTTCACTGCACAGGTCTTGCTTATCTGACATTCCACCTGCATTGCTCTCAAGTCTCCCTTTCTTGGGAAGACTTCATTGTTTCTTACAGTGCTAATGCTCCCAGCAGTCAGGGAACATGGCCTCCTGTACAGTCTCCTTTCCCAGTATTCCTTGCTGGGAAGCCTACTGATTGCACAAGCCCTGGGATCTACAACTCTCAGAACTCCTTCAACCAAGTCCTAAACTAGAAGTAGGGCAAATGGGGACACAGGCCCCTTTGGAAAGGTCCACCTCACCCTCTGAGAGTTCATTTTAATGATGGGAGCACCTACTAACTGGGAGCTGATTTAGAAATAGCCATCTGAGCTCTTGCTTAGCACCTGTTAGCTGTTAACAACATTCAGTCACTAGTGACCTGGCCCACATTTGGTCTGCCATCCATCATTCATAAGGCAAAGAGCAAAGAGTAGGAACCATGACAGTGGGAGGGGAGATCAGGTGTTTTTCAAGTGTTCCATGCTTTACCATGTTACCAGCAACTGTGCAATTATTTTTGCTGTTAATAAGGTCTTTGCTGCTTGTGTTCATTAGAAATCATGGTTCCATAATATAGATGGGCATTAAATATTGATATTACAATAGGATTATTGTACAATACAATACAATACAATACAATACAATACAGTATTTTATTGTCTTCCCTACACCCATCCTAGCATGGAGGGGAAGACAGCTGAGGCTGCTTGGAACAGGCAGCTTCCCTGGCCAGAGGAAGAAAAATTAGCAGGATGATAAATATTTCATACTCCAGGGACAGCCAGAGCACATGCCGAGGAAGCCATTCATGAAATGCTCTCATGCCCGCCGCATTAATCTTGGGTTTTTAATCAAATGCGTTTGCCGTTTCTAGGCATCTGATTTGATTCAGTAAGGTAACGGCTCCAGCTCTGAAGGGAGACAAAGAGGGCAGCAGGCTCACATGCTGATTCTTTGGGTGCTTTGCTAAGAGTAGTGCTCTAGATCAGATTTTGTCCTATCATTAGGAAAAATTTGAGGGGCCCACTCATGTTTCGGAACCCAATGTGGGGAAGGGGGGGGTGTTACTTAAGAGTAGGAAAACTCTGAGATGAAGTCTTTGGTCATTCAGTGACCCCCAACCAAATGGCTGCATAGGGTATTTATATTTTTATAAAACCTTAAGCCCTAACTGTTTTTGTTCTTGTTCAAAAGAGATGATTGAGAGGCCAAGACTGTGGTGGTGGATTAATATTAGATGGATTAATATTAAATGAATGTATTACAGCTGCATGATTAAAATACATGTTTTAAATTATTTTAGAAGCACAATAGCATTCTCCGGGGTGTGCATCTAACAGCCGATTTATACACACAAGGAGTGTGCTGTGGTGTGCCTCATCATACCACTGGAGTGTGTATACTAGACTATAAACGTGTGTCCTGCAAGTAATGGCTTACTAAGGGAACAGCTTTGCAATTCTGAACATTGGTATGATGGCTACCATCTTGGCTGACACACGAGAGGTTGGATGGGGGATCTTCTGACCCCAAAGGCATGAGTTGCAACAGCTTGTATTGATGCTGTATAGGTGGGGCTGTAACAAACCGGTATCCCCTATGAATCAGGCATGGAGGGGGACCTGCACTACAGGCTCATTTGATTAGGTGGTCAGGGTGCTTTACTAGCATTAACTCATTAACATTCAAAGGGTCTTGGACTCTTTTGAAAATTGCACCCTATAATCCTCCACTGTGCAAGTGGTCCAAAATGTGCAATGATCCAAACTGGATACCTTTGGAGATATGAGGTTTTTTTCCCTCCCTGGGTAGGACCAAAGCCAAAACGATACCAAAATATCCTCCATGGGCCCATCAGAATACAGCTTAGGGGACTGCCTGCCTCCCCCTTTAGGCCAGGATTAACTGTGCAATTGATGGGCATCTTAGAAATACCTAACATATGGTTGATCTAGCAGTTGTTCTGAAAATGAGAAAAGTTTTAGGAGTCTCAGCTCAGTTCCCAGTGGCTGTATATCCATGACACTATGTACTGCTCTGCATCACTATTTCCAGCAAGGAAGATAAGGCCAAGATTTTCAAAAGCATGTACCTGTCCACCTTAAAGCACCTGCCTTCTGAAAATCAAGCCCTGTTACACTGTCTCCAGTTGGGCACTCAAAAATAAGATATCCAAAGTCACTGCTGACTCCTGACAACCAGAGACCTTGTCTAGACTCAGCTGTGCAGAATGAACTGCCCTTCTAGGCATCAACATGGGCTTGCCAGGTGAATTCGGAAACTCATTGATGAAGCGGTAAATGTATTCAGGCAGGGTTCTTGCTTGTGCTGTACCTACTCTGGGGACAGGGCTCCCAGACATGCTACTTCTCCACCTTGTGTGTGCAATAAATTCACACAGAGTCAAATGCAGGAAGTACTATGAATCTTGCCAGGCAGCCCATTCTCAGATGTCCAGTCTAATTTTGAAGACATGAACGATCTGGGTAACAAGTACAGCATCCAAATTCCTGTGTCCTCATCCAAACCTTTTGTGGTTGGATATGGAACTATTTTCCCTTAATAAATCTGTGCGGCACTAAAATGTTGCTCTGGGTATGGGTATATCCAGTGTGTGGGGCAGATGGAGGGTCAGGAACCGCAAGGCACTCTTACCTTTTCCATTCATGAGGCTGTTGCGCAGAATCTGGTCTACTTTTATTGCAATGTCAGAGACATTCTGAGCAATAGCTTGGATCCTCTCCATCAAACCCACTGCTGGCTGGAACCTGAAAAGTAAATAAATAAACCCTGAAAACATTATTCCTTCCTGTAAGGCATCCAAGCTTGTTAGTGTCACACTCCGGCTGGGCTCTGCAAGCTCTGCCCAGCAATAGATGCCGCCAAGCACTCTTCCTTCCATCTGGGAAAGCCCGTTTGGCCTGCTGCATGGCCTCTTGGCCATGTGCTCGGGAGACCCCCACGGCATGGTCTCTAGCCATGTGCTAAGCCCCGCCCCTGTGGGGGAACCCAGTGGACCAATCGAAAGGGCTTAAATCCGGGCTTGTCATCAGGCCTATAAAGCTGGGGCGGAGTTCTCCACCCGGCAGGAAGAGCAGAAACAACAGCAGAGCAGTGCGCAGCATCCATCGCCTGCTCAGCTAGCCAAGAAGCCAGAGCTCCCATCGCTTGCTGGTGTAGCGAAAATAGATACTTTTCTCTATGTTTCTTTGTTCCTTGTTTTAGTATTAACCCCTGCATTCTGTAACTTTCCACCCACATGGTACAGGATGGCCCACTACGCATGTCTTACATGTTGCCCAGGTTTTGTTTTGTAATGACCAATCAAAATGTAACACGCCAACTAAAAATTGCTAGCTCAAAAAAAGCAGCGCGCGCGCTTTGTTTAGGGTCGACACTGATTTGAGCAACAAGCTCCTGTCGGCCTGCTTGCAAGCAATAAAATAGAGTTGGACCCAGCCTGAAAGTGTGACTCTCTTCTAGAGGTGAATTGGACTAGCCTCCAGGGGATAAAATCAGCAATTTATGCAACACTGGGAACGCCTGCCCAACTTCCCACGGCTTCTCCTGTCTCCGGAGAACAATTTGCCGATCGGTTTTCTTTTAGTTCTCGAGGCGTCCACCGCTTTATTGTTTTCCCGAGAACCATCAAGTTTTTCGTGCATTCGTTCCAGCGAACGGGACGGACGCTCGATCGTTTCCCCAGCCTCACCCGAACGTGGATCCAACGAGTTTGTTATTTTCTTCCTTTCGTGTCTTGCCTGGATTGGGACAGAATCCGCCCTACAGCCACGTTCACACCGGTGGTGCACAAATAAGAGACGTTGTTTATCGTCAGTTCGGGATTGAGTGTCGTGTGTAACCAAGTGTAACTGCCTGTGCAGCCACATCTATATCAGTGGAGCGCATGTAAAAAGGGACTAAATAAAAGAGAACTTTTGCAGCCGTTACGAGTCCACCTCTCCCTCTCGCTAAACTAACATCAGGGGATCAGAACCCCGGGGCTATAGCCACAGCCCGGCTCGCGCCACGCACAGTTAGAAAGAGTAAGAAGGGCTTCCTGCCCAAAATATCTATCCTCCCACACTGTGAACTACAATACCAAGGGGAGCCAGTAGCAGCAGTTTTAGCAATGCTCCAGGATACAGTGATGGACCAAGTTCTCCAGTACTCGCTCCATCAAAAATTCCATTGGCATTTGTGGGAATGGGAGTTTTCAATGAGTAAAGACTGAAGGATTTGGCCATCATCATTTCCTCTGTGTGTGTGTGTGTGTGTGTGTGCGCGCGCGCATGCATCCATGTGTGTTTGCACGAGAGAGAGAAATATATATATAAGTGCATGTTCAGGAGATCTAGTTTCCCTTATTTCAAATCTTTTCAAACATTACGTTTGAAAATGCCTTTCTAAAATTACCAGGCTTGCAATCTGCTTAGTAAACAAAGATTTCTGAATTACATTTGTTTCTACTGAAGGAACACTTGTGGGTTGCTAAAACTGGTCAAGCTATTTGGTACAAATAGAAAGAAGAAAGGAAAATCATGAGGAAGAAAAGGTGAAAAAAATGCAGAGGCAGAGAAAGTGTGTGAGAATTGTGACAGAGGTAAAAGGAGAAAGAAGAAATGACAACCTTGTCAAACATGTACACTGCTTGGGTTGACCAGCTTTGTGAACCCCCAAAATAGTTGGTAAGTACCATTAAAACTTCCCACTACCACCAAATGCATCCTTCTTCTGTTGATTACCTGCTGTGCTAAGAATGAAGATGGCCTTGCCTCTAACATGCCGTTGTAGGGTATTCTCATGGGAGCATGCATGTAATTAAAGAGCAAGGACATGACATTTGTGCTCTCAAGTTTAGTGTAGCCAGAGGACATTTAATCAGCAAATAAATAATAGCTGACCCCCAAATATAATGACCTAGCCATCTACGCAGAGAAGAGGTTCTGATTACTATTCAGGCAGTGGCATTTGCCATGAAATGAAGGAGCAGTTGCCATCAACATATAGATAAGCAATCCATTTTGAGCAGAGGGAAAATAAAAAGGCTTCACGAGTTAGTCTTGTGCAGAGCCTTAACTGGGGAACAACAACAAGTCCCACCAAACATCCACCTGTCATGCAGCTGATGAAGAGCCAGTGTTGGATGGGTCCAGGGAAATAGGGTCCCATCCAAAAAGAAACCCCATGCCCTGTACTTTCTGGATCAGACTGTGACATCTCCACCTTTTGATAACCCCATTCAGCAAAGCATGAATGCACGTCCTCCTTTTTTAAGCCCATATTTAAATCTCATTGACTGAAATGGGTCTAACCTATACGGTCAAGGGGTTTGCTGAACTGGGCTGAGCAACCAATCCCATACCCTGTGAATCATACCACTAAAATCAATGGGTTTTATTCTCCTTTTCATCAAAGAACCTATACAGTCTTTATCAATGTAAAAAAGTTCTAATGTGAATCCAAATCTGCCTCAGCCTGCGGAAAGGTGATGAAATCTGAGCCTCTGAAGTGCTGCTCTTGAGACACTTTTAACACAGGCAATCTTTTCATTTCAACCATTTCCCTCTCCATTCCAACTGCAGACAACAACATCTCAATGAGCTTGAGTATCATGGTAAACAATTTTCCCTCCTGCAATGTCTGGGGTCATAAGATTTTTCATCGCTCTCCAAATCATTAAAATGTAAGAAAGTATCATAACTAGCGAGCAAAAGCTAAAGGACTGCCTTGAATTATCTCAGTGCAAAAATATGCTCTGATTTGGAGTCCTACTCACTAAAGTTTTATGATTGTTCTCGAACAGATCAGTGAACCTGAAGGCTGAGAATTTAAAGTGCCTCTGTCCTCAAGGCTAAAAATCCCCTTACTTTTATGAACTGACACTGCTTCAGTTGTTGATTTAAAGTCCGTTTTCTAGCAAAAAGCAGCCCAAATTTTTCCTTCCAGGATGGTTTATGACCATCACAACTGAACCTTCCTGTTTCCATTGGTGAATCACATATTCTGGATTTTAAAATTGCATATATACAAAGCTAGAGGGCATCATTTCCCTAGCACATTACAACCATGTGAAGGGTGTAAATCCAGGGTGTCAATTTTAACAGCCAGTTGTTTTGAATACTGAAATAATGAGACTCTTCTTATAACCGTGGGAAGTTGTCCACACAAAAGCACCAGGCCAGTTCCACAGCTGTTACACATCAGCATAGCTCCAGTGAGGTAAAACAGCTCAGGCTGGTAAATCAGCATAGAGAGCTTTTGAAAAATCTCACCCTTAAATCTGCATCCTCATCCCTTCAAGGAGCAAAAGAAATACCACCGCGTAGCCATAACTACGGACACATAAATTGGATGACTTGGGGCAAGGCAAGATTTTTTAAAAGCTGCAAACACATGACACATCCATTCAAAGCATCTTATCAGCTCCACAGCAGGGGTACATCTACCTGTGGATGAGTCTGAGGATATTTTATCTTGCCCTCAGGCGTCTGTGTTTTCATATACACGCTTGCTCTTTCCTCACCCCTTCAAAAGTACATCTACCATCATACATTGTTTGCATGTTTATGTCTCACGTTTCACCTCTTGACTCATGTGTCAGTGACCTTAGATGTCCAACTACCATCACAAATGGGGAATTATTAAATGCAAGAAGTTATCAAAAAGCATTTAGCCAGCTTTTGAATTTAGTAATAATTAGCCCAATACTTATCTCCTGGTAGAGCCATTTGTGTTGCTCTAACACCACTAAGGGAATGTAAACCTGGTAGATCTAGACATCTGGGAACTTCTTTGGCACCAGTCTAGGTGAAAGGATCAAAGGAGGATGAACAGGAGCATGGAAGTAGTAACTCTATGCCTCAGAGCCTTTCAAGTCCTAGCATAGCCTCCTGAAGCCATAAGTAACCCTACTTTCTCCCTCCCCGCTGGGACTGCTCTAACACAGAACATGAAGTCTGAACCAACCAGAAAATTATACAGCCACAAGGGCTTAAGGCCACCTTTGTCCTGCCTCTCATTTCCTGTGACCAGCTCATTTCAGCCAGGCCTGAGAACCAGTCAACCATCACATTCAAATGAAATGAGGAGCAGTATGGCTCCAGTAACATTACGCATTCCCAACTGGTGTAAACCCTCACAACCCCATTGGAAGCCACCATCTGCACCAAGTGAGGATGTATTCATACCAAATAGCATGGCCAATTCTAGCAACCCACAATGGTTCCCGCAATAAAAACAAACAGTTCGGAAATCTTTGATCATCGCACTCAAGGAAAAAAACGCTTTTGTTTCTTGTAACAAGAAAGCCATGTCACACTGCTTGTACTGCAAGACCCACTGCAAAATGTGCTAAGGTTATTCATAATGAAATGTAAACTGAAATGGCTGGGATCAAAAAGGCAAGGAAATATGCTCCCTGTAGCGATTTTGGAGCTGAATAATGACAGAGAACATGTCTGTCACAGTCCTTGGCATTTTGTCACGTTACAGCAAAGAGCTACTGTTGAAAATGTTATTTCAAAATAAAGGAACAAAGCAAAATCTTGTGCCAATTTCCTATTGTGCCATTTTGGTTTGTGCACAAGTTCATCCAAAACAACCATTTCTTAGGCCTTGGATGCATGTTACTTTTGTAGTGCTTATACTTTTGTCGCCATTCTAGTGTTACAAAAAGTGAGTGTCCATATGGCCAGGCTGTTTGTAGTGCTACAAAGATGGTGGAACTGCCACAAACAGGAACTTCCTTGCAGCACCACCTTGTGTA